GACATCACCACAGTCCACCAAAAGCCTATATTTTATTATACAATATAATACTACTACAGTATGGAAAGGAAAAGAGCACAGTATATGGAAGCTCCTATAGCCTCATATAACACCTGTTTTCAAGTGCAGCTTCTCTGATTACCCCTGATTTTAAGTAGCCTTGGGCTTGAAAGGTGTAGATATACAAACTCTGAGCCCGAATATCCTCATGTTCTAAACACTTACTTATAGTTCTAGAGTGCTTTTAAGTGTTTTTAGAATATTTTAATGCTATTGTTATTCATGCATTTGCTGCCCTTGGCTCCTTTGGGAGGAAAGATGAGGTAAAAATTGAATAAATAATAATATTTTTAGAAGTCCTTTATATCTGTTTCATACAATCCTATGTCATGGTTGTTGTTGTTTTTTTAAAAAAAAACTATTTTGGAAGACACTTGGGGTATGAAGCCACACCATGAAACTGGCTTTGTCTATTTTTTTTCAGTGGGGGGGTGGTGGAAGTGGATTAAAGGGAAGTGTGAGATCCATTCTTACTTATTTTGTCATAAGGAAGCTGTGACCAAAGAAACCTTAAAATTTCAGTTGGTATTTAAAGTGTATCCCTCAGCTTCAAAATATGGGAGTCTTGTCAGATGTGTCTCCCACTCTTATTGTAGATAAGGGATTTACAGCTATGAGCAGTTTTACAGAATTGACTGCAGAGTTAATGAGGAGAGAGCTGGCATGGTCTGGGCCTCTATTTCATTAGAAGTTGCTGTCTAAAGCAATAAGTGGCCTTCCACTTTGCAACCTCCTGAAATAAGGATTATATTATATCATCATGTCGATCATGCTGTTTAGGCAACCAAGTGGGACACTAATCTTCCTAAGAGGAGAAAAAGCAGGTGATAGTTTCATCCTGTTCATTATTTCTGGCTAGTTATTTCTGATTGTTTTGCTCAGGACTGGCCCAAGGCATTTTGCTGCCTGAGGTAAAGCAGCAAATCTTTTTCACCACACACACACGCACACACACACACACACACACACACACACAGTCAAGTTGCTTTGCACTGAAAGCTCATCAAGTTATTTTGGCACCCGAGAGATTCTCATAAGTGTCTCTCTTCAGACATAAAAGCTTAATAAATGAGATAGCTAGGAATGTGATGCTTTTTCATGGCATCCAAAGTCGGCTTCCCAACATGACCTTCTAACTCTACCTAATGATAGGACCAGACCCAGTTGTTCCTTACTCCAGTCTGCAGGGTAATAGTGGTGTATATTGAGTAGTGTGATACCCAGGGCCAGCCTAAGACCTTTTGGCACTTGAGGCAAACCACTAAATGACATGTGCCTCCCCACAAGGGAAGAAGAGGGGCATGAAGATGTACAACAGAAACAACATGGGGAACACTGGACACAGAGGATGGGAGGAGACCGGCAGTGCCTCCTGTTCACCAAGAGGCCACTGTGGGAGGCAGCATTGGGGGAGAGTGCTGTCAAGGAGGTGGCAGATCCAGCTTTACAAAGAAGAAGAAGAAGAAGACAAAGAAGAAGAGGTGTTAGGATTCTTTTCCCGTGTTGCAGTCATGGGATTGGTTTTATCACATGACGGTGTATGTTTTCATTCCACATTGTGGGAAGTGACGGAGACCGGATGTTTTTATTACTGTGTTTCCATGATGTAGGACATTTGTCCTTTGTTCTCTCTTTGCTGTACAATGCTGAAGAGGAAGGAGCTGAGTTGCAATGCTCCAAGTGTATATATGTAAATAAACGTAGTTTAGCCAAGAAGCTGTGCTACTGAGTCTGCACGCTGACTGCCTATACTCTGGTGATCCTGAAGTGTGCTGATGCCTCTGAGGTATCAGTCGCTGTGATGTTTGGGCTGGAGAAAGATTTTGAATCTCCAGAAAGACCGACCAGGAGGGAGAGAACATGCCAGTCGGGCATGTATCTCTGCTGGTCTCGTACTCATGTGTAGAACCAAGGAAGAAGAAGAAGAGGAGGAGGAGGAGGAGGAGGAGGGGAGGAGGAGCCTGCTGGATCAAGTCAATAGCTCATCTCATCCAGCGTCCTGTTTTTACAGTGGCCAACCAGATGCCTGTCGGAAACTGACAAATAGGACCTGAGCATAAGAGCACTCTCCCCTCCTGTGGCTTCCAGCAACTGGAATTCAGAAGCATTATTGTTTCTGCCATTGAACAGTGCTCTTATATAATAGCTCTATTATCACTAGTGACAACTGGTGACATTAACTAGAACTGCACTTATTTTACATCTACCAGATTCCCTCTATTACAGCAGGCGTGCTCTTTTTAACCATGATGCCTTTTTGCAATGGTGTCTTTTAACGATGATGATATTATTAAAAGTCAGGATACTTGCTCTTTTTGTCCATGTATTCACATTCCATAACAAGTCGGGGGGTGAGATGGCCTGCACTGCACATAAAGATAAAAGGTACCCCTGCCCGTACGGGCCAGTCGTGTCCGACTCTAGGGTTGTGCGCCCATCTCACTTAAGAGGCCGGGGACCAGCGCTATACGGAGACACTTCCGGGTCACGTGGCCAGTGTGACGAAGCTGCTCTGGCGAGCCAGCACCAGCGCAGTACACAGAAACGCCGTTTACCTTCCTGCTATAAAGCAGTACCTATTTATCTACTTGCATTTAAGAGTGCTTTCGAACTGCTAGGTGGGCAGGAGCTGGGACCGAAAGACGGGAGCTCACCCCGCTGCGGGGATTCGAACCGCCAACCATGTGATCGGCAAGCCCTAGGCACTGAGGTTTTACCCACAGCGCCACCCGCGTCCCCTGCACTGCACATACTTAGAGGCAATTCTATCACAGCTGGGACTCATATCACATTCTCCAGGCCTCAACTAAGCAGAGAAACAAATGCATGAACATGTAGTCTCCACATGCTAAAAAGCACTCATTTACTTCTTTTTGTGTTTAATATTATTGTACAAATTCCAGATCTAGGATGTAAAAAGTTGATGAAATCAGGCAACACATAAATGGATACTTATGGACCAGTCTTCCCCGCAAAAGGTAAAAGACAGATGCCTACACCCAAACCAGGAAGCATGCTTGAAGAGTTATATCAAACAGAAAGCAGAAAGGTTGAAATTTTAGAATTAAATTATAGAGTCAATCACCAGAGTTGACATTTCTCAAAAGAAGTCAGATATAAAATTATTGATCACTTGAGTTAAATATATAACATTTCCAAATTCAGCCTCTTTACTGGTAACCAATATAATGAGATACAGAAAGAGAGAGAAATATTATTTTATTTTATTTTTTAGTGATATTGGGATTTAATGATACAAACCTTTTGTCCATTTATACACCTTGTTGAGCAATATTTTTATTGTTGCAATCCTAAATGCACACAGGTAAGGCTGCAGTCCTAACCCCAGTTATCCAGGACTAAGCTCCATTCAATATGACTTATATCTGAATAGACATGGTTAGGATTGTACTGTTAGTCTCAATGAACATTCACACTGTGTCTGTTGACTGTAATGGGCTTTTTGTTCCATTAATATCTGTTAAATTAGATAAAAGTTGTTGTCACTGTTTCCAAGTGATCTGACAGCAAATCTTGCACCAGATCCTAAATGCTTCATAGGATTAGATTAAGGGCTCTCATTTTATGACTACTTGTTCTAAGGCACGACCCTTTTCTTTCTTTAGAAATTCCCATTGTCATGAGCTGATTTTACATTTACTCATTCCTTTTGAGGCTAGTTTAAGCCACCAGTTATAGCACTGTAGCAATTATAATCAGGCAATAGTTGGATATCTTTCATCTTTATTAGCTTTCCTTGAGACCCATCTGATTAATTTCACACCTGCTTCAGAAAGGATAGGCTAGACAACTCTATGATAGCACATTCTCCTTGTAATTTTCAAAGGGCATCTGCCTTTGAAAATCCAGAAATTCTGTCTCCTGCCAGTCTTGTTTAATTTACAGAGCTGTCAGCCAATGTCCAATACTTCATTGTCTCCATTAAAAATTATCCAGTCAGTGGTGCCCAGTGCACATACTATTTTTTGTTAGTACCCTATCAAACTTTTGAACATATTACCCCGAATATACGAGGATCCAGCCCTGGATCCTCAAAGTTCCCATGAAACATTTCAAGAATTCCCAGAGGAATGTGGCAGCTGTGTGAGCAATAGCCTCAATGTGGTGGTTCTGTACACAGTGCTCTGAATCCCAGAAGGATGGTAGCTCATAAAAGTTATACTTACATCACTGCAATTGCAACAAAAGTATATACTCACACGGGTGTACTAGTTCACGCAAAAAGATGTCTCCATGTGAGTACAGCAATTCTGCATATGGTCGAGGCTCAGATGATTATCTACACAGGGGGAAATGGTCCATTGTTACATCATATAATGGACAGGTGGGTGGCCCCACCTGTCAAACTGGACCAACTGAGGGTAGGGAGATTATCTAGCAAGCTGGTCAGATCCTGATCCCCAGCCCTGCTTTATAAGGTACATCATATGTGACCAAAGTCTCATGTTGTATTTTGGCATGGGAAATGCTTCCATGCACTGAATTTACCACACCATTTCCATATGGCTACTAATTTAAATGCCTGCCTACCGAATCTAATCATATGTCAGATAGCACATATTATGCCAATAATTGTTTACCAGACTTATGAAGGTACACACACATTCACACACACACACACGGTTGTCACTCCTGCTTCCTCCATTTGCCAATCCTTATCCCCCCACGGCATCTTCAGCTTTCAACCCCATTCTTTCACAGCTCCTTCAACCCTCATGCCTTCCATTTCCCTCACAGCTCACCCAACCCCTTCCCCTCAAAGATTGTCCCAAACCTACTCCATCTTCCCTCCCAGCATGTCCAAGCCACTCCCAGATCACTGTGAATCCACATGCTCCCTTCCCAGATTGCTCCAAATTGTAGAGTTGGGTGGTGCCACAAGGGTCATCTAGTCCACACCACAGCAATTCAGGAATATTTTGCCCAATGTGAGGTTCAAACCCACAACCATGAAATTAAGAGCCTCTCACTCTACCAACTGAGCTATCCAGCACATATTCCCCTCCTTTTCAGAAATGCCTACAGACTGAGTCTCCAGCAAAGCAATCTTGTGCCAATATGCTTGCAGTTGCCCACTTTATCTCCATGCCGTTTTCCCAATGGTTATGTGTGACAGAACTCAGAAGAACAGCTTCATCTGCTGAGCTTCAGCTTGTCAGCAGCAAAGCACAAACTGCCTGCCAGTGAAAAGTAACGGTAACCTGAAGTGCATTGGCAGAAATACACTTTTTGAAAATGTTTTTTAAAGTGCCTACCTTGAAAGTTCATTGTACTGTGATAGGGAAGGAGTAAACTTGGGATGGGGGACTCTTTCTTTTGAAGAATAAAGATCAGAAACTTTGCTATGTCTGGAAAAAGTCATAAGCTGTGGGTGAGTGGAAGACAACCATTGTAAAATGATTGAGTCTCTGAACTAAGACTCCTGCTCGCATTAAACTGAACATAAATTTAATTTTACTCCTTTTTGAAGTGAATGCAATAATGCATCAAAATAAATATGATTGCTTGTGAGCCTCCTACACAGTGTAGCATTGCTACAAGATACACCTCCCTCCCCAAAGGGTTTGACCTAATTCAGTCCCCATCAGGATTCATTTATATTCCCTGGGCTTCTAGTATCTTCATAACGAGACTTACTTTACAGTGTATACACTTTGCACTATCCAACCCAATCCCAATCTGTATCTACAAAACTCTGTATCCTCTCTTAAGTAAGGCACTAGTAAGCATCATGTCAGAAAGCCTTCAGTTATTACTACTTAGGATTTCCTGTTTTGCTGAGCTAGTGATTGAATTTTATACCTTAGCAGAAAAATGCAGGCTGCTTGCTTGTTTGGGTTAAAACAGGGTCCTGCTGACAGAATATTGCAATATTACACCCTAGTGTGTATGAGGTTTGCCAAACGTCAGGAAAATTCCTGACATATCCTGGTTTGGGGGTGTAAAAATAGCAACAGGGGGGAAATTGGCAGAATCTGCAAAATGTTGGGAAAACTTGGATGTATGGCAATGCGATTGAAAAAGCAGCAGAAACAGCTCAAAAAGCTTAAAAATCACTATTTTGGGGTCAGGTTTTCCCCAAAAAGCTCAGCAATTTAGGGTTTCCTCCCCCCCCCAAAAAAAACCCTTATCAATTTTGGTAGGCTTCCTTAAAAAAACACCTCAACAATGTTGGGGTATTCCTTTAAAAATCTCAACTACTTTGTGGGTGTCAGCAGGAATTTTAGTTTTTGAAATATGGCAACATTAATGCGAATGTCTGGTGCTCTCAGACAATTCTTCCAAGGACGCAATGACTTCAGACACACACTTGCTCTCCACTTGTTTGTGGAAAAGTGAAAACTATAGTCTGAACTGAGCTACTCTTTTGTCTTTCTTTTTTACTGAAGAAATGCAAGTTTCGTAGCATCATGGCACTGGTGTGAAAACACCATAATTGGGTCTCCAGACCCAAGGAAACATTTAAAAGTGATGCTGAAGTGACAGGATCAGCTTTTCTATCCTCTTGTCCATACAAAATACTGGTTAGGATATGCAGGTGGAATCTATTGTTTCCAGTACTAGTGACAAATGATTTCACATAATTCCAGCAAATAGTTTTGAAGCTCCCAGTGTTGTAGCATTATAGAAGGTGAGAGGGTGCAGACCATGTAAGTCTATCTGGAATCTGTATGGTAGACTACAGGGAGTCCCATGTAAACTGCTCCAGTCTTTAAAATCGTAGAATGATAGAGCTGTAGAGCTGGAAGGAATCATGAGGGACCTCTAGTCTATCCCCTGCAATGCAGGAATCTTCAGCCCAACCTGGGGCTTGAACCCACAACCCTGAGATTATGAGCCTCATGCTCTACCAACTGTGTTATCCTAGGTCCATTGTATGAATCAGCAAGTGTGAAATGAATTGATGAATGAATGAAGCTAATGCTCTTGGTGACTTTCCTTGTGAAGACACAAATATTCATAGGATCAAATATTGGCTAATCTGCTCCCACCAATTAGAAACATCCATAGCAGGAGATCTAGCTTTTGTAATGGAAAATACACTGGGATTGCAAGGATATTATTATACTGTGAGACATTTTGGTTAGGCTAATTTGTATGAAACATATCTGCTGGTGCAGAAAGTCTTAAAACTGAGTTGTGAGCCAGAGGCTTTGAGGCTAAACATATTACTTGCCAGTCATTTCCATTGATTACAATAACACTTACTTCCTAATAAATGTCCTCACATCTGAGATATAAGATAGGATACAATTTCCTAAATGCAGTCACTAAAGTGTGGCCATTTTGGTTGTTTGATCCATTCTAACAGTGCTTTGTTGGTTGGTTTTGTACAAAATCTGACCCTTGCCATTATAAAAATATATGATATATGATATATGATATAAAAATAGATGAGCAAGCTGTCTAACATGACCATTCTGTGATCAAAGATTGAGTCAAAACGCCTCTATTGAGAAATAAACACCTTTCCATTTCTCTTCAAAATATAAGAGGAGGAAGAGGGAATAATATTAATTGGCTGACGTTCATATTGCAAAGATAGGCTGAGCAAAACTTAGGTACTTTTTTTTTATTTTAAAAATCTTTTTGGCACAGGTCCAGAATTGCATTCCCGTCAGTTCTTCTGTAGTGACTTTTTCCCCATAACATTTCTTTTTCTTTCCTGAAACCAATGCTGTCAGATATCAAAAAGTAATTGTGCAATTCAAATGTCACCCTGTCAAACTACATAATGTGATGGCACCTGTTACACTCTGATTGCTTCACTCCGCTGTGCCTTTTTGGCATTCTCAGGGTCCCTAATGGCCACTCTTGCGAATAGAGACCCCCAGTTCCTTTCCTTACCAATGACATGTAACCAGTTGGTAGGTCTCGCTGATCCTCCATAACTCTGACAAGGCGACAGGTGTAACAATCTCTCAGCGACCATCCTAGCCTCTTTTTCGCAAAACCCATTAACTAGCGCAGAAGGCTTTTCTTTTCTTGAACATATCAGGCTTCCAAAATTCACCAGGTTTGGTTAGCATAAACCCCCCACCCCGCCGCAAAAAAACCCACCAGTGTGTGTCGGTGTGTATACACACACACACACACACACACACACAGACACTGTTTTAATGAAAGAAAACCACCACAACTAAGAACTGATGCTGAAGCAGACTGATACACTATCAGGGAAAATTACATACATATAATATGTGAATAGGCTGATCTTCGGCTATTGGGAATGCCACAGCAAAATTATCTAGAATGAAGGCAATAGATGAGGTAAACTGTGTTTGTCTCATCAATTCCAAGCACAATTCAAAGTGTTGCTGCTGATCTTTAAAGCCCTAAATAGCCTCAGCCCTGCATACCTGAAGAAGCATCTCCACCCCTGTCGTTCAGCCCGGACACTGAGGTCCAGCTCCGAGGGCCTTCTGGTGGCTCCCTCACTACATTAAGTGAGGTTACAGGGAACCAGGCAGAGGTCATTCTCTGTAGTGACTCCCACCCTGTCAAACACCCTTCCACCAGATCTCCCAGTAACTATGCAACCTTTAGAACAGGCATGGCCAAACTTGGCTCTCCAGATGTTTTGGGACTACAATTCCCATCATCCCTGTCCACTGGTCCTGTTAGCTAGGGGTGATGGGAGTTGTAGTCCCAAAACATCTGGAGGGCAAAGTTTGGCCATGCTTGCTTTAGAAGGTATCTGAAGGCAGTCCTGTATATGGATGTTTGTAATGTTTAATGTTTTTGTATGTTGGAAGCCACCCAGGGTGGCTGGGGTGAGCCAGTTAGGTGGGTAGGATATAAATAATAAAATTATTATTTGTTGTTGATAATGATGATGATGATTTCCAGGCACAGTCCATTCTTTAAATCTCCATGTCTGAGTGTTCTCTCTCTCTCTCTCTGTGTTAGCAATATTAATAGTAATGAGCCATGAAGATATAATGTCTTGGATTAGCACTTTTATCAGTATTTGGAGAACACAATTCCAGCAAAATTTACATAACATTTTTAGATGTTTTTAATTGTTTCCTCTGAATGTTTACCCAGGGTTTTTTGGAGCAGCTGTGGGATATAAATTAATTAGTTAAATTAGTTACATTATTTTACTGAATGCAAAATAAAAAAATAGCAAAATAGCTAACACATACCTGAATTCAGATTGCCACAGGCCGTTTTTTCAGGGTTTCGTCTTCAAAAGACCACCGAGCCTGCTTCCTTTCAAACTACCAGTAGGTGTTGTTTGGCTATTGATATCAGAAGCAGAAATTAAAAAAAAATCATCTGAGCAAACATAACAAATCAGATTACAGACCCATGAGTTTCTCATATACTTACAGAAAAGCAGCTTATAAGAAGAGAGGAAAAGTGGAATTAAGCAATGCCTAATTTCTGTATATATATCGACATAATTGCATGCCGCTGTGATAAATAACAGAATCTGCTTGAAATCTTTGCTTCCAGAAGGGGGGAAAATGCATGGTAGATTACATAAAGGGAGGATGTAGTGATAGTAGGAAGAGCATTAGCACTGAAAACAGAGGGAGGTATTTCTGTGGGCTATAAGCTCTGTTTAAGAAACGTGTTCTAAAATGTGTGTTTTTAGTATTGAAACTTTGAACTTTGATACCTTATTGCTGAAGGAGTTTATTAAGTAATTACATTTACATGGATTTTTCTTTAGGCACAGAGGAGAGCTTCCCCACACACCTGTGAGATTAGAAAACAGCAAAGCATTTGCTAGTTTGGCTTGGATAGTCAATTTCTTCCTTTTTTTATAGCATTGGTTAAAATAATTGTTCAAGCAGTAAGACACTCCAGGTGCTCTGTGTTTTAAGACAGCAGAAAACATCCAAAAGCGTTGTCTGAAGATTTCAAAATAGTATTGTTTTGTTTTTAAAATCAACTAAATGGGGGAAATGGTAATTTAAACCCTTTCTTTTTAAAAGCATCTCATTCTTTCCTTACATCATCATGCATACAGATGGAACATGAGAATAGACTGAGCAAACACTCAGAAACATCAACCTGATATGCATAATTTCTAGCTGGTGGCAAAAGCAACAGCCTGAAATTTCTTCCTCTCCTCTCTGTACCATCTAGTATTGCAAAACAGAATGCAAGCAGGACTGTGCCCAAACCCACTGACCCAACTCTAGGGGACCACCACCAATTCAGTGAGGGAAAAACTAATGTTTAATCTGGGTTGTGTGCTGTGTTTTTTATGCATCCAACAGGACTGAATGCTCTGCTCAGCAGCTGTTGAATGGAATATTAAATCCTATGGGGTGCTGCTGTGCAGTCACTTTCAATGGAATCCTCTATATCTTCTCCTTTCTTCTTCTTATCCATCCAATCTTCCTTCCCACCTGTCACCTGCCTCTCCCATTCAAAATCTTACTTCCCGACAGCCCTGGTTCCCTCCAGATGGCCCTACCTGACCTGGGCCAATCTGGGGTTGTCTAGAACTGACTAAGGAGAAGCTTGGATCCCCCTGAATTGACTAGATTCACTTTGGGCTTTGGCTGAATTCGGTGAACAGCCCAAATGGCAACCATTTCACTTGTGGGATGGGAAACTCGCAAATATTGTTCACGTTAATGCCCTTCTTTGTATCCCCCTTATGTGCAGGAGGAGATGCAGGTCTGTTTCTGCATGACTAAGGACCTTTCTTGTTATGTACTGAAGTTCTCACCCTGGGCCAGCAGGGGGATACTGTAGATAGTTTTCACTCAGGTCCACATATGCAAATAAGGGATTGAAAGTGACGTTCAGTGATTGGATAGTAACAGAAAGTGGTTACTGTTGCGTTGTAGTGGAGCTCTATATAAGCAGGCTGGCTGAACCCTTCAGTTCAGTTCTGTTCTGACCTGTGAATAAACAAGAGCTGTTTGAAGAATTGCTGTGTCGTCTGATATGTTCACCCACAATTTAACAATTCTCATTTGTACCATGCATGCAGATATTCTGGGACATGGCTGCAGCAGCAGACAGGCTAGCCCATGGGTAGGCAAACTAAGGCCCGGGGGCCAGATCCGGCCCAATCGCCTTCTAAATCCAGCCCACGGACAGTCCTGGAACCAGCATGTTTTTACATGAGTAGAATGTCTCCTTTTATTTAAAACACATCTCTGGGTTATTTGTGGGACATAGGAATTCATTCATCCCCCCCAAAAAAAAATATAGTCCAGCCCCCCACAAGGTCTGAGGGACAGTGGCCTGCTGAAAAAGTTTGCTGACTCCTGGTAGCCCATGTGTCCCCCTCAACATGCTCATGCAGTCTCTTCCCATTTATAAACCTATCCCTATCTTATTGGTCTATCTTGATATATATAAAAAAGACTTCCATACCTCCTCAGCTAGTTTGTATTTTGCATTGAGAACATTATCTCCTCTCTAAGCTCCTCTTTAATTCGCCCCACCTCTTTCTTTCTCACCTGGATGCCATTGCTATTGCCACTTGGGCTTGTATCCAATCCTCTGCTACTGGACCTTCTTTCACATTCCATCTCTCCATCTCCTACCTCAAGCAGCTTCTACTTATAAAAATGTAACCACAAAGTTGCTGGTCCAGAACTCAATATGACTTCCTCGTGACACTGTAGTTGATGACACAGGTCAATGACAACACATGACAGCAACAGACAACAGTAGATATTGACAGTAGTTAGATGGAAGACAGTAGTTAGGGGACGCGGGTGGCGCTGTGGTTTAAACCACTGTGCCACTTGGACTTGCCGATTGGAAGGTCAGCAGTTTGAGGCCCCACAACAGGGTGAGCTCCCGTTGTTTGGTCCCAGCTCCTGCCAACCTAACAGTTCGAAAGCATGTCAAAGTGCAAGTAGATAAATAGGTACTGCTCTGGCAGGAAG